GTTTCACAATTTGAGTTGAATTACTGAAATAAATGAACTTTTCCGACATTCTAATTTATTGAGATGCACCTGTACAAGTTACACTTAGATTTTATCCTAGGACAATAAAATGATAAAAAAAAGAAAAATTCATGTGACAGTGATTAGTCAACCACTGGGAATGCTAACAGATTTTCTCCAAGTATAGACCTATTATAGAATATATTATTGGGACCAAAAAGCAACCATTTAGCGCCTTGAACACTCTAGCAATGTGCTAACAATCACTAAGGATTTCAGAGTCAGAAGTCAGAAGAAAGAGCTTTATTACCAAGTATGTTTACACACACTTGGCGGCAGGAGCTTCCAGTGCAGAAGAAAGTATGAATATAGTGCAAACATACAAGATAGTGCAGACATACATAGGAATTACACAGTAGAGATGGAATATAACACTATAAGAAAAACAGAAAATTAAATAATGCACTATATACAGAAGTAGAAATATAGAGAAAAAACATGTAATTGTTTAAATGAATGTACAGATATGTTATTTACAAGTGTGCATTTGACAAATGTACAATTTTCAGATTATATTTATAAATATGTCAGTTATGATGGACAATGTACAGTATAGTTATGAATGTTATCAATAAGGATTTCTTACCATTCACAACATTTTAACATCATGGTTGCATAGAAGAAGAGTCGCCGTCATATATGGTGCTTCATGGAGGATCCATTGGTGAAAAAATTATGTAATGCAAAATTTCTCCAAATCAGTCCTCATGAAGAAAGAAATTCATCTAGGCTACATCTTAGATGGCCTGAGGGCAAGTACATTTTTTTCCCCCCCATTTCTGGGAGAACTATTTCTTTAACATCACAGCACCACCCACTCTGACTTTGCTTTTATATTTTTCACTAAATCTGAATGATGAAACACTTTGCCTGAAGTTTACAAACAAATGTTATTTATTTATGCTCAAAAATACAAACGACAACATGAAGAAAACTGTATCCTGGCAAGTTTCTCAGGACTAATTTCTCTAAGAAAAAAAAAAGACTTCAATTCGGCAATATAAGCCTTCATCAATATACAAAAATGTGCACATATGAATACATGCATGTTTTTACCCCAAGTGTATTCAGTGGGGGCAAAGTTTACTCTTGGCACAATAACGTTCCTGTTGAGTCAATTAAAAGGCTGGAAAAATACTCCTTTCTGAAAGGATCTGTGAAAATCAGTCGAGAAAAAAAAGAAAAAAAAAATAGAAAAAAAAAGGAAAATACAGGTCAGATCTTTCAGAATGTTTTTCATCCAAAATATTCATAATGCTAAAACACAGAATCAAATAATCTTATAAGAAATAGCGGTTTTAATAGAGTAGTTTAATATAGTGTGTCCTCCTGTTCATTCTGGTGAAGAACATCCTCCATATTTAAGCCAAATGAACACTACCATATTCAGACTGGCCATCAATTACCTGGAGAAAACAAAAAACTAAACTCAGGACACCATAGTAAATCCCAGCATTCTGCAAGACACATACTGGCAGTTATATATTTTCTGGAGCCAGGTTTGAAAGCAAGATCCAGGTCCATTTTTAGCTCACGTCAGTCATTCAGAAAGCCA